TTATTAGAAATGCAAATTCTCAGCACCTTCCCCTCCACTAGACCTACTGAATCAAACTGGAGTGTCCTTAGCAATCTGAGTTTTAACAAGCCCTCCAGGGGATCTTGATGCATGTTGAAGTTTGAGAACCACTGCCCCAAAGCATTCATTACTTCTAAACTGCCTTCTCTCTAAACCTTGAGTAGAAATGATTTGAGCATGAAAATAGGGACATGGCAGTGTGGAACAAATTACTTGTTAAAGTCTTGCTTAGGGTAATTATACTTTATGGAGATCAAATATTTAAATAGTAGCACTTCTAAAAGTGTCATGAATGCTATACTCACAAACACAGTCACAACACTCAATCACATATATATATATATACTTGTGTAGACACACATTATTACATATCATATATAATGTTAGTATATCACATCACACATATGTTATAGGTTATATGTTATAGGTTCTGTTATATGTTACATGTTATATATTAGACCTGCTATATACCATATGTTTTATATATGTAATTAAAATAATACTTAAGAAATAACAAAAAAAGAGAGAGACATTTAGACAGTAATAAAAATCTAAGTTGATAAAAATGCAATAGATAAAAATTGCAGGTAAGTGAAAAAGCTTGAAATATATACCAATCAGCAGGTCCAGGTGATGTGCATTCTGGGCCTTGAGGGAATCCACTAATGATTGCACTAAGCCACTGACAACTGGAAAATCTAAAAAAAACTCATGTGGCTATGTACCATGTTTTGCTTTGTCAGCACTCTGCATAATTGTGGTACTCTGGCAGGTGCATTCATTAGGCCATATCTACCCACTGCCTGCCTCCCACCAAGGAAAGAAATATTCCATTTTTAGGTATAGATGGTATCAAAGTTAACAGAATATGCTTTTTTAATGTCTTTCTTATAAATGGCTCATCCTCAGCAATACATGTTGTAATTCAAGCCTCTGGTGTATAACACATGACAAATGTTCTCAAGGCCTACACAGGGCAGCTTGGCCTAGTGGCCTTCAGCTTCATGCTGAGATTTACTAGTGTACAACCTGTCAGTGAGAGTGGAGAGAGCAAGCTAGGAGCTTTTCCACAGACAGGCAGTTTGAAATCAAGACAAATTTCATTCCAATTTTTTTTTTTTTCCTTTTGACATGGTCCTGAGACTAAAGATGGAGATACTGAAAGGGATGAACAAATATTTGGCCACAGGTGCAAGCTCCTCATGAATGAATGAAAGCCTTTGGTCCTTGCTGCTTCTGGACACAAAAGAGTCAGGCTGGGTTGATTATCATTTGGTCTGACCTAACGTTTAAGAAGCCTAGACATATGTTGGGACCACTCCTTCTATAAACCAGCTAGTGTCTCCCCTAACCCTGAGTGCTTTAACAGGCCATACCCCTGACACTAGCCTTATGCTGTATCCTTATTGCCAGCCAGACAGTCACTTCAGAAGTTAATGGAAATAAGAGTAGATGATTCTGTGCAACCCCATCTTGGGGAAAAAGTACCTCAGATACATTTTCTTCATAGATAGCACAGATGCTTTGTGGTGATTCTAGAATATTTTTAATAGGGATTTGGTGTGTTGATTTTTTTTCCCCTGGATATATTTACACACTCTTAATTAACTTTTCTCATGTTTCAATGAAATCTAGGACTTTTTCTCAGCTCATTTTGATGTGCTGTTTCAATACCTTATATAACTACATGGTCCCATACCAAAGAAAGGAAACAAAGCCATGTATATTTAAATTGTAATATGTCAGAGTAGTAAACATTAGTGCAAACATTACAGATCTAAGAGGTAGGGTTCCTTGTTTATTAAACCAGTATTATCCCAGTGTATTGATCATTTTGGGTTCAACTATTTCCCCTTTCATTGGCCATAGTGTCCTCATGTGGTAAGTGTAGGCATTGGTTAATATGACCTCTAACAGCCACTATCATCTATAACATTCTGTGAATTGTTTATAGTAGATACATAACATACATAATTTTATAATTTGTTGCCTTGAAACTAACAATAATACTTCAGGTCCATGGTAGATAAGTTTGTCATTTTGCTAAAGACATGAATCTGAAATTTCCTAGTTGAGGCAGGAGTATGGGAGAGAGTTGCCTACATAGCTGCCTAACTAACCATCTAGCACCTTTGTCTCAACAGGGATCTATTTTTCTCTACTTATTAGATACAGTTTCATGAGGGAGATTACATACAATGATGAATTTGGAAACAATCCTTGTTTATGTGAAAGGTCTGTTATACATGAGACTAGACATGAAGTCACTGCATATGAAAGTCACTTTGATCTTACATTTATTTTTGTACATCAATGTCCTAATCTGTTAAATAAGGATGCACTGATCAGCGGCTCATTTCTCTCTCATGCAAGGCTGGTGTAGAGAAAAAAGACAAGGTGACAACACACTAGCCCTTACATATTTAAGCTTCTAAATGACACATCACTCTGCTCGTATTTCATTGGCCAGAACCAGTCACAAGGCCCTATCCTAACTGCAAATGAGGCTGGGAAATGTAAGGCAGAACCTGGAATACTTAGTGGGCACTAATAATCTCTGCCACAAATGTAACTCTTTTCTTCTAATAACATATAGAGATGTTAATAATAATAATAATAATAATAATAAACTACTACTACTACCACTACTACTACTACTACTACTACTACTACTACTACTATTTATTTTGAGCCAGATAACTTTGCTAAGTGTTGTACATGTTATCTCATTTAATCTTCACAACCCTGTTGTGCCGTGCCATGCCTGCACTGCCAAGAGTTCAGTGAGCCTGGGGGTGGGGGTTGGGGGCTAAGGATTGAAGAAAAGACAGACAAAGAGCATAAAGTGGGTCTAGGTGGATCTCCTGTGCCTGGATAAGGCCATAGAAAGATCCAGACAGCAAGCTGAGCCTTTATTTTATAGCCAAATGTAAACAACGTAATGGTCACCATAGTTGCAATGTTCTTATGAGTTTCACTTGTTTTGGCAGCACTTGCTGCACCTCCCACAGACCATTAGCTACTCAGGAAAGATCTAGGGAGCATCACAAGGTCAAGTTTAATTATGCCAAGAAGGCTGTGCCCTCTAAGTTGGGACTTGTTTGTGGCTTTGCCAACAGGTCAGTTCGAGGCTTAACCCTATAGCCTAGGGGTGTCGAACTCAATCAGAGAAAGGGCCAAAATCTAAAATCCAGCCTAAATCGCGGGCCGAATGGTTTACTGAACAGTCATAAACTGTCATTGTGATGGAAACGCAGCGGAGTGCAGTGATGACAGCGCGGTGCGGGCCACATTGCAAGGCCTGGCGGGACGGATTTGGCCTGCGGGCCTTGTGTTTGACACATGTGCATAGCCTATCCCTACACCCTGTAAGGTAGGAGCTAAGTATAATCACATTTTACAAATGAGAATCTGAGGCACAGAGAGATTAAGAAACTGTCCTAAGATACCATAGTTAATAAATACTTGAGTCCAGGTTGAGATAGAACTACATTTAGAGTGTAGCAAAAGTCACCTTCTAGTAAATCAACTGGTTTTATCACTGCCTTTAGGGATTTCAGTCTAGCTGTCATTCAGGGATGCAGTCATCTGAAAGCATGACTGTGGCTAAAGGGTATACTTCCAATATCACTCATATGGCTGTTAGCAGGAACCTTCAGTTCCTCATTATATGGGCCTTTCCACAGTGCTTTCACAACATTGAAGCTAGTGAGAGGGGGTAATGTCAATATATCTTAAATAGAGAACAAGGTTCTGATAAAGTAGGATAGATGATGAATAACATTGAATGTGATTTGAGATACAGGGAGGGAACAGTTCAGTACGTAGGATATTTCCTAGGATGTCTCACCTTAGGAGATAACATAAGAGACATGGGGGAGTAGGTGCCTGAGGATGTCAAAGGAAAGTTGTGAGTACAGAGAGAGTAAGTGAGAGCCAAAGAGAACCTAATCCATTTTACAATTTTGTGGAGGACCTGGTGAGCATGTACATCTGTGTGTGTGTTTGTGTGTGTGTGTGTTCATTGAAAAGGAAAAAAAAAGCTCTTTACTCTTCCTTGCTGCAGAATGCCTTGCAAAAGTGCCTTATTTAGGTACTAATACTGGAAAATATTTTTTCTTTAACTACAAAGCATGAATATTTCACACAGCTGAATGCTGGGCATTTCTTTCTTACACTTCTCAAAGTTGGTGGTGAGTACCAAGCGGGCATACCTCAAAATGCCCAGCCTTCAATGTGAGCAATTATATATACAACTGCCCCCTGCCCACACACACACATTTGCTTTGGGAGCAAAGAGTGTGGTTAGATGGAATTATTTCTTTGCTTAATAAGAAGGAGAGGTATCATTCTTACATATTTGCATGGCTTCCTTTATAATCTGCTTAATTAATTTTGGCTTTCAGTGTCAGAGGCATGAGGTGCTGAGGAAACCCCCATCTCTGTTCTAGCACAGCAAAGTAGCCCCTACTAGGTATGAACACAAATCTCATAGACACTTAGGATCCAGTGCCAGATACTAAGTATGATGTGAAAAAAGTTATGCTAAATCTAGAATTTTCACATACATCTGCATTTGCCTTTCTAATCCACTCTGTACTATTGCTTTAAAGCAAATTCTGACAGGAGACCAGTCTAGAAAAACAATACCAAGTACAGAAAAAAGTCCCAAATTTTTCATTAAGCTATTACCACTCTAATAGAGCTCATTATTTTTCAACTTCCAATTATTGACTTTTACATTTAAAGAACATGCTCAAATTTGAATTGAACTCAGTATTTTCTGCAGAACTTCATGCCATTTTGTTATATTAAAAAACTAAAAACTACCTTGCACCAGGAAGCTTGGAAAATCTAATGTGGCTTTGAAGAAATTTTCACTCATCCTATTGTGTGTTCTTTCCTAATTCACACAAGAAGCATCCACATCTTATATGACAATATTTGCTATATTGATGGCTAAAGAATTATCAGAGCTTGTGCTTGCTTTGGCAGTACATATATTAAAATTGGAATGGAACAGAGAAGATTAGGATGCCCCCTGTACAAGGATGGCATACACATTTGTGAAGCATTCCATATTTAAAACAAATAAGTTATCAGTGGTCAAAACTACCTCTCCTTAATCTAGGGATTTCAGATTACATTTTACTCTTTTGCCACTCCAAAATTGAATAGCAATGAACAGTACAAGATGTTCAAAGAATAAGTGACTGAGTATGATATACTTTTAACTAGAAAATCAGGTAATTGTGACACACTTTAAGAACACCTAATTATGGCAGAAATCTTAAAAATTTAGCAATAGTCACTTTGGTGAATTTATTATATGAAATGATGAAAATAGTAAACATTGGATGGGAATGAATGCAGTTCACCACCCAGGATTGAATGATTTTTGTGATTAGAATTATAACTTTGTACTTTTTACTGCATAAAATTATATAGCAAAATAGAGACACATGAAAAATTTTTTAAACCAGCAGTTAGAACTGTATTTTAATGACAGTAATGTAATATTTAAATTATTCCTTGTTTTTCAGATTTAGATTCATCATAGTCCCTCATTAATGATACTGGTGAATTCTCATTCTTACTCTTTCTTAAACTATTATCCTTGGTTTAAGTCCAGTCTCCTTCTCTCATTAGAAAGAATGCCAATAAAACTCCTTAATTACATCCAGTGACTTTTCACCTACTCTTTCCCCATATTTTTCCACAGGTAAATTCATAAGGAGATTGCTATGGTTTCTTATAAGCTACTCTGTGCAGAAGTATGTTGCTTGCTACCTAGAATCTGAAGCTCTTCTAAGTGATAGCATCAGTAAGTATTTACTAAGCATCTACCATGTAGCTCACTTTGTTCCAAGTGATAGGGAAAGAACATAAAAGAACATGAAACAAAAAGGAATTTGTGTTTCAGATTGCAATGTGGGTCTCAAGTACAGTAACCTATTATAAACTAGGCTTGGACACTTCTACAGGATATCTCTAAGGCTTCATGTTTGTCCGTTTTCTAATATGGCCTATTCAGCATGTTAATGCTCTTTTCAGCCGTTCTCTTCCTTCCTGTGGTCTGATATACCATCCACCCTTCACTAGTGGGTGACTAATCACACTTAGACATTTTCAGAAAGACCATAAAAAAAACTTTGCTCAGTCACCTGCTTACAATTTTCCTCATTTTTCTGAGGGCCATTATGTTTTTTGGTTATCCCTTTTTACCTTGGGTGATCTTGAAAAGTTTTCTTGTTATTTTTAATGTCTCATATTATTTCTTTTTATTCCTCCTTAGGGATCTAGCCAAGTTTTCCCTTGTTTTGTGGCTTTCTTTTTCCCCTTTCAGGTCACTGTATTGCTCTGAGTTTTAGCCAACTTGGCATCTAGCTACCTTTTAAAATAGCCTGAAAATTTGATATCAGAATGAAATTACTTGCTATGTTGTAAATATTTTATGTCCCATTAAAACTAATTTCTAAATAATTTCTCCTATGTATACCCAGGAGCTAGATATGGAAACAACCTTTCAGTTTTCCTATGAGCATTCTATCAAGAACCAGTGCTTGCTGAAACCGGTTTGGCTCAGTGGTAGAGTGTCGGTCTGTGGAGTGAAAGGTCCCAGGTTCGATTCTGGTCAGGGGCATGTACATTGGTTGCGGGCACATCCCTGGTAGGGGGTGTGCAAGAGGCAGCTGGTCGATGTTTCTCTCTCATCAATGTTTCTAGCTCTCTATCTCTCTCCCTTCCTCTCTGTAAAAAATCAATAATAATAAAAAAAAGAACCAGTGCTTTAATAGGGCAGAGGAATGAGGCATCCTATCTAATAAAATGGTAATATGCAAATTAACCATCACTTGGTCACAAAGATGACGACACCCTTAGCCACAAGATGGCAGTGCCCAGTCCTCTCAGCCCTGCTGGAGTCCCCCAGTCCTGGGAGGAGGGAACAGCCGCTGAGAGCAGGCAGCATGAGCCTCTTGGAGGAATGCTTGCTTTATCGCCGCAACGATGAGAAAAGTGTTCCATGCCTGGCAGCAAATGACAGCAAATGGGCCTCTGGGCCACAGAGAACCTTGGAGCAGCAGGTGCAGAGTGGCCAGGCCCTGCAGAGAGCTACTGGTGCACATATTCATGCACAGGGCTACTAGTACTTACATAGTCCTGTTTTAGTCAGCTTAGGCTGCCATGACAAGTACCATACTCTGGGTGGCTTAAAAACAGACATTTATTTCTCACAGTTATGGAGGCTGAAGTCCAAGATAAGGATGCCATCATGGTCAAGTACTGGTGAGAACTCTATTCTTGGATTGCAGAGAGCAAACTTCTCAGTGTTTTCTCACATTATACAGTTGCTAAGAATAAAGATTGTGGAGCCAAGTTACCTTGGTTTGTCTCACAGCTAGAACTTCCTAGCTGTGAATATTTGGACAAATTACTCAGTATTTTTGTGCCTCAGTTTCTTCATGTGCAAAATGGGGATAATAATAGCACTTATATCATATATTGTTATGGGTATTAAATGAAATAAACATGAATTTCTTAGGAAAATGTCTGGCATATAGCAATACTCAAAAATTATTGTCCTTACTAATATAACCACTTCAGTGGCAGGGGTACAGGTTTTTGTGTAAACGTAACCTTTAATCTATGGGGTAAATTTTCCAAGAGTGCAATTGTTCGGTTATTTGATGGTGGCATGTTTAATTATATAAGAAAATGCCAAACTGTTACCATTTTACATGCCCAACAGTAATGTATGGCATAGTGATACAGTTCTCAGTATTCTCACCAGGATTTGATATTATCATTATTTTTAATTTCTTGACAGGTCTTTAATGCTATTTCATTGTAGTTTTAATTTTTATTTCCATAATTGTTAATGATATTGTACATATAATTTTATGTGTGTGTTTGCTATATCTGTATGTTCTTTGGTAAAATGTCTGCTTGGGTCTTTTGTCCATTTTCTAAATGGATGGGTTAGTATTTTTATTGTTGAGTTCTAAGAGATATTTAAATAGTCTAGTAGTACCTTGATGTATAGAGGCTTACAATTATTTTCTCCAGTCCTATATCTTATTTTTTATCCCTTGAACAAAGTATTTTGCAGAGAAAAAGTTATTGATTTTGAGTAGGTCAAATTAAAATTAGATTGTGTATCTCCTCTTGTGTGAAATTTGCTAGTTTCTGTCTTTCAAGGAATTAGTTTGTTTAGATGTTACCAATTTTCAGGCATAGAGATGTCCATAGAATTCAATTATTAGCCTTTTAAGGGATGGCCCTTTATTATTAATTTTCTGATTATTGAGCCTCTGTTTATTTTTTCCATTGATTAAGCTTATATGCATGCATATAAGCACTTTGGTTGATCTCTTACCCACCCTTCCCATGCCTTCCATCTGGAGTTTGACAGTCTGTTCGATGCTTCTCAATTTCTGTATATATTTGGGTTCATCAGTTTATGTAGTTCATTATATTCTAAAAATGAGTGAGATCATGTGATGTTTATCTTTCTCCGACTGGCTTATTTCATTTAGCATAATGCTGTAAATGTGCATCCATGCTGTTGCTAATGATAACAGTTCTTTTTTACAACAGTATAGTATTCCATTGTGTAGATGTACAACAGTTTTTTTAATCCACTCCTCTGCTGATGGTTACTTAGGCTGTTTCCAAATCTTAGCTAATGTAAATCATGTTACTATGAACATAGGGGTGCATATGTCCTTTCTGATTGGTGTTTCAGATTTCTTGGGATATATTCTCAGAAGGGAAATTACTAGATAAAATGGAAGTTCCATTTTTCATTTTTTGAGGAAACTGCATACTGTTTTCCGCAGTGGCTGCACTAGTCTGCATTCCCACCGGCAGTGCATGAGGGTTCCTTTTTTTCCACATCCTCCCCAGCTCTTGTTGTTTGTTGATTTGATGATGATAGTCATTCTGACAGGTGTAAGATGGTACCCCATTGTCGTTTTGATTTGCATCTTCAGATGGTTAGTGACTTTGAGCATGTTTTTATATGTCTCTTGGCCTTCTGTATGTCCTCTTTGGAAAGTGTCTATTTATGTCCTTTTGCCCACTTTTTGATTGTTTATATTTTTGTTACATTGTATGAGTTCCATAGAAATGTTGGAGATTAAACCCTCATCAGAGATAACATTGGCAAATATATTGTCCCATGCAGTGAGCTCTCTTGTTGTTTTGTGGATGCTTTCTTTTCTTTTTTTAAAATAATATATTTTATTGAGTTTTTACTGAGAAGAAGAGAGAGGGAGAGTTAGAAACATCGGTGAGAGAGAAACACCGATGAGAGAGAAACATCCATCAGCTGCCTCCTGCACACCTCCTATTGGGGATGTGCCCGCAACCAAGGTACATGCACTTGACTGGTATTGAACTCGGGACCTTTCAGTCCGTAGGCCAATTCTCTATCCACTGAGCCAAGTCGTTTTCGGCATGAATGCTTTCTTTTGCTGTGCAGAGCTGGAGCACATTATGTTAAGAGACATAGTCAGAGAAAGATAAATATCACATGATCCTACTCATTTGCAGATTGTAATGAACAACATAAACTGATGAACAAAAACAGATCCAGAGACAGATGCTCAAACCTCAGAGGAAAGGTAAGGGAGGGTGGGGGAAAAGGGGAAAGATCAACCAAAGGACTTGTATGCATGCATATAAGCCTAACCAATGGACACAGACACCAGGGGGATGAGCGCATGAATGAGGAGGTGAAAGGCAATGGGGGAGGAGGATAAGGACATATATGTAATACCTTAATCAATAAAGAAAAATTTTAAAAAAGGAAACAGAATGATTTTTAAAACCTGTGGTACATTTATCCATGGAATACTGTGCAGCAGTAAAAAAGAAGGATCTTTAACCCCTGAGACATCATGGTGGGATAGGGAGAGTATTATGGTAAGCGAAATAAGCCAGTCAGAAAAAGACAAGTATCACATGATCTCACTCATGTGGAATCTAATTAACAAAATAAACTAATGAACAAAATGGATATAGAGACATAGAAGCATGGAACAGGTTGTCAAATCTCAGAGGGAAGGTGGGGATGGATGGGTG